AGATAGATAGATAGATAGATCAAGCACATAGGGCAAACACACATAGACACGGAAGTACCAAGATAAAGTGCTGTGAACTAACCAAGGTATAGATCAAAAAAATAAAAATGTGGTCAATTTTTAATGTAGCACTATTTGATGTAGTGCGGAAGCTCTCTGGCTGTAAAGTTGCATTGAATATTAATGAGGGAATAATACTGCACATATAGAACTGGTTGGAGAAGCCCTGTCGAGACCCTTTCCTCTACAAGGAGAATAAGAAAAGACAATAAAGCCATTATAAATTATTCTCTGCTTAGCTCAGGAGAGAGCAGAGATGCACGCCACACATTTTACATGGACACACAAGCATTTAAAACTGACCGTACTCAGCAGTTATGCGCTCATGTGTGTTTGTGTACACGCGTCAAAAGGTTGCACATGTCAAAACAAGAATGAAACACACACACACACACAAACACTGTGGTGCCAAAGCTGGATATCTTTGGCTGATTTTCCCATAGGGGTCGATGCGATTTAGACATTTTACCATACATTTTTAATGGTTTGGCTCACTCTCAGGGGTCATGAAATATTTATTGAACGCAGAATACAGTGTCACAGCTGTCAATTACAGCGAATAAAAAATGCTTGAATCACAATTACTGCAAAATTTCAAGAAATATGGAGGAGTGATTCTCATGTTAATTTGAATTTAAAGAGCTAAAGTAGACCCGCCTTTACCCTCACTTTGACACACACACACACACACACACACACACACACACACATAGGGCTCCCCCTCCAACCTTACACACATACACAAACATCACATTAACATTTCAGGCGTTTTTGCTCATGCTGTTGTCCAGAGCGACTGTATTGAATTCTTTTCTATACACTCTGCATCACTGCCAAAACATTTGAATAAATATCAACAAAATGATTTCCTCAATGATGCGTCCACAGCTGTTGACTAAAAAACCCCAAATTTGGGGAACAACCCTGTGGCCTTTCAGTCACAGAACAGCCGTTGTAAGCATAAGCCACCCTGCCCCACCCTAAATTTCAGCATCTCTTGTTTCCACTTAGTGCATTTTCCAAAGGAATTAGACAGAAACCCTCTGCAGCTTGGTTTCCATCCAAAAAATGTGTTGGCAAATTATGGTGTATTGAATTAGAACAGCTGAGAGCAAATGGCGAAAATTGATTAAAAAAAAACTCCCCGATATTACAAATTACAGTAAAAATGTATTCTTTGTCCATATCAGCAGGTATGCAAAATTAAGCGATGGAAGCCCATTTTTGTTGAAAAATGTGGATGCAGGTCTTTCGCGATCAGCAAAAAGAATGATTGAATTTCATTACACAGCAATTTAAAAGTGGAATTGGATGCCCTGAATGTTGGCGGTAAATCTGCCTACCACAACCTCCCAGGAATATCAGACCAGCTGTCTCTCCCATGTATACAGTAAATCTCCATTGTGGTTGTATGGCCATTAGCTGGTGTATTACAGTATTGCCAGGCACATTGCTTTATTCTTATCTTCAAGTAAAACCATGAAATATGGCCAGAATTAGCTGACACTGAAGAACAATAACAACTCGACTGATAAAAATCAATACTTGAAAGACTGTTTCTGGAGGCTAAAGCCGATTAAGCCAATATCTAATCAATAAACAGGCCCAACCACCACTGACAGGATGGCCGCAATTTATATCAGGCTGCAAAGAAGAGTCACACATAGGTAATAACATCCATCTCAAATAGAATGAGTGCAGCTGGTTTATCTCCACACAAGAGTTATATGAGGTCATAACATTACACAAAGGTTAACAGTGTAAGAAAGGATCTGGATCAAACTGGATGAAAGCATCACAAGGAAGGCTATTGAGTCATAACATTACCATGATCTAGTGTTTGTGCAGCTTTGCCCACTCTAGGGACTAAATGTCAGCGTATCCCCACCACCTGCACTGACTGTAGACATTCTTTTCTAAACTGTCTTTCATAAGTCCCCTAACTTCATGGAAGTGCTGAACTAAACTGCTGGCTTACCAATTATTTGCCTCTTGCCAACAGGCAGCCTCTCCTAGCATGTCACACTTACAATGGACATCCAGGGTCAAACCTCATTCCGCTCTGAGAAAGGGTAAACTCTGCAGGGTACAGTAGGTCTGGCTAACACAGCACCACAGCAGTCTATCAAGGTGATTTTGAGCCACTTTTTCTACATTTTATGTGTGAAGTCTGAAATTGACTGGTAGAAAAAGTAGACAAAATTGTTATCAGCAAAATGACAACTGAGAAAGAAAGATGCCAAAACTTCCAAACATCCATCTACATTCTGGAGAGAAATTAAGATAGACTGCAGTCAAGCTGATTTGTACGGCCGTCAATCAGTCTCAAAGAAGAAATGCTGAGTACAAGCAAGGTAATGATGTCATCCTGCACCATTAGGCCTCAGTAAAAACAAAGAAAAGTATTTACAAAAGCCTACATATGAAATCAAAATCTCAGGAAACCTCAAGATGGCCCTCACTTCTCATTTTATTAAAATCGAGAAAACGTATTGAACACAGCTGTTAGAGACACGTGTAACCTGCGTTTTCATTTCCAGGGTTTATTTTTAAGGTCTGCAAAAGTTGCAAACTCTCCTTTTGGTAACATCAAGATGACAGATTTTCCCCTCGATATGCACATTGTGTGAACAGTGTGAACATGCACTGCGTAGATGTGTGACCCACCTAGCACGGTGACGGTGGCCCGGGCGGTGCGGACTGGCATGGTGAAGATGGAGCAGGTGTACTCGCCCTCGTCGGACAGCTGCACTTCAGCGATGGTGATGGAAAGCTCGGTGTTTGTTGAGCGGTGCAGCTGGATGCGGTTATCTCTCAGCGCTGAAGGAAGAAGAGGAACAGGATATCAATAATTAGAAATGTGCATATATAATTGATCTGCTTTATGAATTATTTAAGGAGATTTAAGTTGCATAAGGTATGCTGTTTTTTAATTATTTGAATTTTTAGGTTATTTTTTGCTTTTAAACTTTTAGAACTCTATACATAGTTTTCTCATATTTGTATTGTTTTTTGTTATAATAAAGAATAAGGCAAAGAAATGAAGAGGAGGAAGGGGCAGAGTATGAGTGAGGTAGAAGGGACAAAGCGAAGGTAGAGATAAAAGGAAGGAAAAAAGATGGGGGAGTCTGAGAAGTACAGAAGAGAGGAGAGAAGAATGCGGAGGTGGGAGGAGAAATATAACATAAGACAGGGGAGAGCAAGAAAGAAGGAAGGAGGAAAAGGGTAGAGAGGAAGGAAACATGAGAGAATGAAAGGATGAAGAAAAAGGAGGATGGATAAAAAAATCAGGTGAAGTAGGGAGGAAGATGAGGTGAGACAGAAGGACGAAAAAAGGGATAAAAGGCTGGGAGGAGTGAATGTAGCAGAGGTGAAGGCGAAAGGTATGGAAAGGATAGCAAGAAGAGAGGACTAAAAGCAGTAGAAAGGGGAGGGAAGGGTGAGGAAGGGAAAAAAGGAGAAGGCAAGGGAAGAAAAGGGGGAGAAATTGATGTAAGGAAAGTGCAAGGGAAAGCAGAAGTTGGAAAAAGTGGGGAAAGAAACAATGAAAAGAAAAGGAGAGGTAGCGGGGATGTGAGAAAAATAAGGGAGGTGGGACAAGAGGAAAAAAGCAAGTAAAGGAGGGCGAGCAAGGATGGGGAGGGCAGAGTGAGAGGGAAAGTAAGAAAGATGATGTGCAGAATTTAAATCATGGGAAAGAGAAAGGTAAAAGGGAAAGGAGGAGGAGGAGGAGGGGGGAGGGGGTAGAGGTGTTTAGAGAGAAAATGATGTAAGAGAGGGAGAGAGAGAGGAGGAGGAGGAGGAGGAGGAGGAGGAGGCGGAGTGATGAAGATGAGGTGAGAGAGGAGGAAAAAATAGCCGAGATGTGAGCACAAACAAGGCAAAGAAAGACAAAGAGGGGACTAAAGAGAGGAGACGCAAAATGAAAATGAGAGACGAAAGAAAGTGCGAGTGAGGGAAAAAAAGAAAAAAAAACAACAGAAAAATAAAACAGAGGAAGCATAAATAGCAAAGAGAATAAGGGAGAAACGAGAGTGAGGGATGGGTGGAGGTAGAGGGAGGAGGATGAAGAGGGAGGGAGGCTGGGGGGAACATAAGAGAGACATAAATGGCTTTGTCATCAATGAGAAATCCAGCCATGAAAGAGGGAGAGAGAGCGCAAGCGACCAAGATAGATGATGATGATGAAATGCTACGAAATAACCGCTCGTTTCCGTGATAGCATTGACCTCTACGGTGTTTGTGCTGTATGATTGCTGTCTGTCTCCCTGCCTTCCTATCTGCCTGTCTATCTAGATGTCTATCCGTCTATCTCTCTGTCTCTCAATAAAACCTTTGCAGCTTTGTTCTCTGGCGCCATCATTCAAAGTCGGCTCCCCGCAAAAAACAACCGGACTACAGGAAAGCGGATACCTTAAAAAAAAACTACTGTGGTCGAGTCAAGCGAACAATCCGATAGATTTTTAGAGTTTCCACATTCAAAGTTGTTTTAAGTTACCGTGGCACTATTTTTGTCTCATCCCAAGTCTGAAATACAAGGAGCTGAAGTTTGAGAAGACTTTGCCAAATTAACAGCTACACTGTATTTTAGGTTTTGTTCGTTTTACTAGAAGTAGACGTAGCCGTGGGGGAGGCTCCTGAGGGCCTGAAAGGACACAAGTAAGCAGGCGTGTAACGGACAAAGTGGCACCCCAACTTTTACAACAGATTGTAACTAAATACGGATGGGTGGGGTTAACAGTTAAAAGTTCTAGCTCTACTTTTGTTAACAACAATACAAACCTAGTCAGCACCTGGTACAATAGATACAATCAGAAAAACAGCAGATAGCCAAGCAGCTCACATGCTTGCTTACAAACTTGTCAAGGTACTTCATTTGTGAGATATTTGTTTCATCAATTTGCTTTAAATCTATGTTTTTACCCATTGGTACAGCAAACATGTATCAACTGTATCTGTAATAGCAATACAGCCTTCTAATAAAACTATATATAATGCCATGTTTATAGCTAGTTAAAAACAGAAACAAAAAATTGTGGTATTCAAATATCAGACGTTTAGCTCAGAGTTCACACGTTTCTAAGCCTATGAAGCCAGTTTGGAGGTGACTGACCTCGTCCAATTGATGTTGAATATGCACCTGCACCTTGTTGCACCTGTAACCACACCTAACAGTGATGTCAGAGTGTACTGACCACACCCCGAGTACACTGCTACATTACTGCAATGTGGTGAGACCTTCAAACTAACTCGTTAAGTCATTTTATTCTGAAAATCTTAAAATAGTATTATG